TTTTTTTTTTTTTTTTTACGACAAGTAATCTAGGTTTCTGCATTCATAGAGAAACCTGGGTTTCTACGCGCTGCAAGAGGCCTTCGTGGGATCCGTGTAATCCCAAGCTTCTCTCAACCACTGCCAGGAGGAGGAAGGCGTCTGGTTCTCTCCCAGGAAGAACCAGCTGCTCTCGTTCTGCCTGAGCAGCAGGAGTTGGGGACCACGTGGACTCCACTCGCTGTCGCTGCTGTCCCGTCCTGTTACCTGTGCATCGGCACATGTTCCTGTAGCCTCAGATTCAGGTTTCCCTGTATCACACTCGCTGGCCTCGCAGAAATGCGGCACAAGACAACGAGGGGCTCACTCTAAATTTAAGGAATGAGAGTAGATGCTGAAGAATAAAAAAATCTCCCCCCCTCCCCCCACCGTGCAGGCCAGACGTTCTCGTCAGTTCTGTCGCAGAACCACGACAGACATGCTCAGTCACTCCACAAATGTAATTTCTAAACACAGAGCGGCACTGGGAAGTTTAGGGTAACATTTCCATACCAACCTTCCGGTCTTTCCAGCTCTTCTTTGATGCCTCAGGTTTGACGGGGTCCTTGGAGCCTCCCCATGAGCCTTCCAGAAAATCTCGCCTCGTCCGTCCATTTTTAGAACCTATGACCCAAGTGGATGGAAGACCGGTCAGCATTCCCCACAGACTGAATACTAATGCAACTTAAGCAAATGGACACTTCCAAGTTTATTTGTGCCCATGGCTCCATGGGAGTGGGGTTCTGTAAATAGTCGGCACATGCCTCACTCTCAAGGCCTGTTTGAGACTTTCCCTTTATTCTACTCAAACATTCCACACAACTCACCCAACTCTGGGGTCAGAAACAACTGTCCCTGTCAGGTGACAATACTGCTCCAGTAGCCCTTCTGTCCGTCTGATCGTGAGAACAGATGCCTGCATCTTGTGTACAACTCAAACCCCAATTCCTTGATTTTTACGTAATGATCCAGCCCCAGCTCTGCAGAGAGGGCAGCTCTATATCAGAGGACACAGTAATCTCGGCGTTGGGTGTGAGTTATCCCAGGAAGCAGTCTCCAGTACAACACTTCGGGTTTCACTCTACAAATGATAGATGATTCTACTCCCTGTGTATCTCCACCTGAGACCAGCATCCAGCCATGAAAACACACACACTGAAAAGACACCCGTGAAGGAACACATGGTTTCATTAGATGCTGAACAGTGTGGAGACCCCGAGTAACCAAAGTAAAGTGTGAGACGTTTGCTTTCCACATGCTCCTAATTCTCACCCTTCCCTCTCAGGAGTTTGCCTGCCACCTGGATTCCTAGTTACTCTGAACAAGGACTGAGAACTCCAGTCACCACCCACCTGGTCTCAGGGGGTAAGACACAGCAGCCTAGCGGGCCCTTCTGTCCCGGCCACAGCCGGGTGCTAGCAGCCGACCCGCATGTTCACCCTAACATCGCCCACTCAGCCGCAGATGCACTTATCGGTAAACATCTAATTACAGGGTGGCCCACTACAGACACAAAGGTGCACAAACACTGTCCCCATCCTGGCAGCTTACAGACCAATAGACAATGCAGACAGATAAATGAGTGTAAGGCAAGAACGATGTAAGTACCATCTGAAATTAAAATCACACAACATGAGAACGACTGCTTTGCAGATATTTCAAATAAAATAGGACGCTTCTCTAGAACCCTGTGCTTTTCCATACAATCAAGCCTGGAGAACCCGACTTGGAAGTTTTAACTCTTCTTTCAAAAACAGGGTTCTAAAGCCCTGGCCAGTGTGCTCAGTTGGTTGAAGCATCGTCTTGGGCACCAAAAGGTTGCAGGTTCGATTCCCGGTTGGGGTGTGAGCGGGAGGCAGCCAATCCATGTTTCTCTCTCTCTCTAAAAATCAATAGAAAAATTTAAAAAACAGGGTTCTAGAGACATGAGAACAAAATGCAGAATGATGGTTAAATATTTTCTTGAATTCAAACTAGTTATTTACAACATGGGCCCTAAAAACATCCAGTTCTGAACCACCTACAAACCTCACCCTGGGTCCCTTTGGAGATAGGCCAATCCCAGGTTGACCCCACTGTCCCCTCAGCGGCCTCCACACTTGACTTGTACCCACCCCCCCTCCCCGTCCTTACTCATCTGAGGCGACCGCCCAACTCCAGCTGCTAGAGACCTTACCTGGCGCAGGTGGGCGAGCAGGCCATGTGTGAGGGCATCCTGGTTACTCCGTTTAAAACCCCCCAGTGCGTCTATCACACTTCAAACCAAACCAAGCTGCTCCAAGCCGGGCCCTCAGACCTGGCCCCCGCGGCCTCTCTGCCCTCACTTCCCCATCCTCCATCGCCCCAGGAGCTGCTGTTAGCCCCGCGCCCTTCTGGCCAGCACCTCCCACCTCAGGACACTTGGCACTTGCCGTTTTCCTCAGGCTGACACAGGGTTCCAGCAGTCACAGGCTACCTCCTCTACCACACCCAGGCCTGGGATCTGATGCCACCTCTTCCGAGCAGCCTTCCTCGGCTGCCTCACCTGACCGCCCACACTTCTGTGGTCCTTCCCTCATCACTCACTGTTTGTGACCGATGTCATGCTCACACCCCTGTGCTGCTATCTGCCCTCCTCACTAGGACACGACCTCCATGAGGGGTGCCTGCTGTCTCCCTCGCTGCCATCTCCCTGGAAACAAACCATGTTGTGTGGCCGGGACACAACATGTGCACAGCAAATAGTTGTAAAATGGACTAATGGAAGTGAGGAAAGAAAATTTCTCTTTTTAGTAATGTTTGTTACATTAAGCTTGTATTTGTGTACTGTTTATAAAATCAGAGAATAAAAGTTTAAAAAGAAATTGGTTAACACAATTTCAAAGATTGCTACTTAAAAAAAACCAGAATGAAAGTTTCTCCCTCTGTTCCTGTCCTAGCAATGCCCCCCTGAATCTCTCACTGGTTCCCGCAGCCTCTGCAGGCGAGCAGTAAAGGAGAACTGAAGACAGACACTAAGAGGAGGCCTTTATTTCTACAAGAAGGCCTGCAGAGGCACAGCTGGAAGCACGGAGTGGCTTTACAGCTTCACAATCTGGGCACACTGGGGGCGGGGTGTCAGGGAGACCACAGGCCGTGCACTTTGATAAGTAACTAACTCCCGGAGGGAAATGGGATACTACAGGGCTGACAATGGACCATTAAAACATCAGTGGGTCTTCACTGTATCACTACAAAACATGTGTTAGGCTCAGACTAGACAACACATAGGTCTCTTCTGTCCTGAAATGCCATGACTCTGTCTCTTTGGAATGACAGGGACTCTAGAAGATACCCTTATGTCTGTTTCCGGAACTGAGTCACACCGGGGCCCTGTTTGCACCCCACTGCATGACAGCCCACATCTTGTGACCACTGAGACCTGAAGTCTCCTGGGAGGCCCGTGCTGCCCCTCAACCTCTCCCACATGCCCCAGACCTCAGGGGCCATGGACAGGCCGTACGTCTGCCTCCAAGAACCACCACATCCTTCTAGACATCACTGGGGTCCAGGGTGCACCACACTGCCTGGAACCAGCTTCCCTCCCACTCACTTTGTATGTGCAGGTCATCAAATAGTACTCGAAGGTTTTAAAAATACACAGGTCAAAACTGAGAGTGAGAAGCGTTGAGAACAGAATATCCTTAACCCCCAAAACTAGTCTATACATACAGTGTTTTAAATTAACTTTGGAGTCCACACGAGTTTTCATATATTTTATATATAATTTTATATATTTTTAGAAAACTAAGATATAAAAATTATATTAAAAATATACAAAATTCTTTTTGTGAGACGATTTTGGGGAGCTCATTTATATCCAAGGGAAAGACACACAATACATCTACCACTATTCCAACCCCATGACGTTCCCATCCTGAGAGAGGTGGTTAAAACCACTTGGGGAGTAGAGAAATGATAAAAATAAACTTGGTCTTAATGAAATATCAGCCCAGCCTTTAGGTAGAGACGGTTACAGTTCACGATTTCTGCATTCTGATTGCTGAAACGTATTTCTGCTTAAAATCAGAAAGTGCAAAATGTTTTCCAATTTTGCCCCCTTTGCTACGATTACTACAATTACATAGTTCGTTAATGTTATGATTAAATTACAGACTGAAATAAATCTATTTAAACGATGTTTGAAGCAAAATAAGTAAAAGCAAGGCCTGCTACAATAAGCTGCCCACTGAAGGAAAAACGTTAAGCATTTCTTTATAACAGTGCCCAAAGTGTCTTCAAAATACTGCAACATATCCATGTGCTTTTTCATACCTTCCCTTTTCTTGACAAAATCAATGACCTTCACGACCTTGAAGTCCCTTCTGAAGGGAAGGCCTCACTGTTAGGACCTGCGATTTTACCACTGCCCCTTGGTATGCCTCTGTGCACACAACCGCGCTACGGTGAGAGGCTACATCGAAACAAAGAAAAGCATTCGCTCCTGTCCCTTACACACACCAGGTATCACCCTTCTTTTCACCCACAGAAAGTGCAGGCTGGGAGAAACGTATTCCTAATGCATTCTAGATCTGAACTAGAAATTCCACAGGGTGGTGAGCCATTCTCTCTAAAGAATTTATCACTGGAAAATATCAAGGCCACATTCTTTAAAATTAGAAAGAAAAGAAATATTTCTAATCACAGCCTCCAGCTAAGTCTCCCTTTCTTCTCTGGACTTTCCACACCTGAGTCACCTACACAATCTGCTTAGAACCCCTGAGATTCACCTTGCGAGAAATTCAGCATTCTAGAGGTGGTGTCCTCTTGCTGCTTGCCTGCCGCGTCCAATTCCGTCATTTCTTTATTGCTTGGAGTGAGACCACCCTGGTGCCCTCTCCCTGCCTGTTCTTTTCCACGTGCGAGTTCATGGTCGGGACAAGAAAAGTCATTTCCCTCCCAGCACCCGTCTCCCCTTCTCCGAGCATCAGCCTGTCCATAGCACCCTGGAGCTTCCTCAGCAGCAGGTGTTTTCCTAGAAGTCACACCACCCAGAGGTGCACATGACTCATCATTTCTGGGTTCCTGAAGACCCGAGCTAGTGTTTGCTGTTACATGGGCAGTGTCCACTGACCTGGGGTTTTTACCAATGCGGGAGAAGTCGGACCTTTCTAAGATGTCCGTCCTCTCCCTCCTGGAAAGACCAACTCTGTAGCCTAACTGAGCAGGGCGGGAAGGTGACTGAGGCCCAGGAGGAAGGTTCTCTGAGCTCCTTTCCTTGAGATTGTCGGGTGAAAAGTAATCGTCATACGAGGACCCCCCACAGTGAGGGGTCTCGACAGCAGAGCTGGCCACAGCCCACAGGCCACCTTCTGGCTGAAACAGCTGCATCCTTGGCACAGTGGCCTTCCTGCTGCACCTTTTCTTCCCGAGCCTGTCGTCTGGAGGTGAACGCAGCTGCTCTGACCTTCTCTTTCTCCTCACTGAGGAGCTCTTGGGCTGTGAATGTCCCACAAGGTGGTCTTCGGCTGCAGGCGACAGACTGCACTTCGCGTCAAACATCTCTGATATTCCCTTGGATGGCTTCTTGCCAGGAGTGGTGGCCACGTCACCTCCAGGACCTCTCTGCCCATTTCCTTCCTCCTCTGAAGGTTGGCTCACAGGTTTCCGAGGAGTTGAGTGGCTGAGGTACCTGGGAGATGCTAGTGAGTGAATACTGCTTGTTTTCAATGCAGGTGAAGAAACACACACATCACTTTTAATGTCACCGACGCATCCTCCTGATTCCCTTTCCTGATTCCCATATCCTGAGTTTCCACAAGGATCATCAAAAGATAACTGCAGACAACCAGCAAAGGAGTCCCCTGGAAAATATCAACGAAGAATTAACTTTTAAAAAGGGGTCTTGATCACCATAAACATCATGCTGAGTTGTGCAATAGACTGATACGTTTGAGCACTGCCATTAGTTAAGAAGAGCTAGTTCTAGTTTTCCGGGTTTTACTGCTGACATGGAAGTAAGTGTGACGCTAAGCCCCTGTGACCCTGTTCCATGTGTTCACCACACAGGCTGTAGGACACTGTTTCCTGCCCTGAACGTTTACACGGCAAGCAGGTTCGTTCACACAAGATTTATGTAATTTAAAGATCTATTGATTCTGTTCCAAGAAAGCAAATGCCTAAGAGAAATGCCACAGGAACCAAACGAGGTTTAAGTCCTGTAATTTGTTATATCTTAACTTCATTACAAAAACTACTTTTTATTATAATTCCTAACTTCAGGGTGAAACTCAGGAATTCTAGTTTTTAAGTAACTAGTTTTCTCATCATATAATATTCCAAATGAGAAAAAAAATTTTTTTAAATATATCTTTACTGATTTCAGAGAGAGGTAGGAAGAGGGAGAGAGAGAGAAACATCAATGATGAGAGTCATTGATGGGTTGCCTCCAGCATGCCCCCCACTGGGGATCGAGACCGAAACCCAGGCATGTGCCCTGACAGGGAATGGAACCATGATCTCCTGGATCCTAGGTTGATGCTCAACCGCTGAGCCACGTCCGGCCGGGCGAAAATAATATTCTTAAAGCTTCAATATATCACAAAAAACAATTTACCTGAGCAGGAAGTATCATGTGATATGTCCAGAGATGCTTCACAGAAAGAGCGAGCTGGGTTTTCACAAGACTTTTCAACCATTTGGGAAGCTGAAAGCACAGTCAAAACATTTCGTTAGACACAACTTTGGCATTTTTTCAGATGAAGCTAGTAGAAAGCCCATGCAGTCTGCTCTTACGTATCACGTACAGACTTATGCCTGTACCTTACCTTCTGGACGTGCTACAAAATAAGCACACAAAACTCACCCAGATCTATTAGAAGTGGTGAGAATCTTAAAAGTAGTCTCTGGAACTCACACTGTAAAAAAGAATTAACTCCCTGGATAATCACAATCAGAAGGGGTCATGAAGAGTGGGCTTGCCTGAACCCAGGATATAGCTCGACAAAGGCAAATAGCTATTCCTGTAAGTTTACCGCCTGACAATACGGGCTTTTTTCCAAGGGCCGTATCAGTCACCTCTCTGGCTACAGAGTGCTTCTCACGGCGGGGGGGAAGGGGCGCTGGGCTACCAGCAGACCCTGGGGATGTCTGCAGACACTGACTTGTGTCATTGGGGAACGAGGGTGAGGATATGAGCTCTGCTGCTGGCACCTAGTGGGCAGAGGCCAGAGATGCTGCAAAACATTCTACCAGTCCCAGCACAGTGCCCCGATAAAGAGTTACCCAGCACAATATCAACAGTGCCAAGGCTGGGAAACCCTAAGGCTCCATAGAAAACACCCAGTTTAGGGTATCAACAATTTAACAAATAAGGCCCTAAACACTATCTTCAAAGGCCATGCAAACAACAGACCAGAAACAAGAGATTTTGGCTTCATACCCACAGGTGTTTTTAAAGAGAATCAAAAGGATGTTTTTCTGAGAAAACTTTAGCAAAGAATTATAAAATGAGAATAAACTAAGATAAGGAAGGTAAGCTCAGAGACAGCATTTTCAGCTGTTGAATTCTGAACTGTGCTAGGTGCATCTGAGTGGCAGAATTAGCTCTGCAGAGTAATGGACCAAAGTTTAAGGCAAAAATAGGCGCAGACACAATTATCCACGGAGACCATTGGCACAATATTCACCTGGAACAGCTCCTGACACACTTCAGTTTCCATTCTCTCCCCCTCTCAACCACACAGCCTTCATGATCAGAGCAGCAGGCTACCCTGGGAAAGACTCCATTCCAGTCTGGCTGTGGTCTCCCGTGGGCCACTTGTATTTGGTTTCTACTTCCTGGGCTGGAACCACTGAGGTCCCCACTGGCCAAGTCATCCTGGTGCCAGCGGTCACCAGGCGAATTAAACTGGATGTATGAGCACAAACACAACTGACTGCACTGGATTTTCTCCTGGCAGATCTAGAGTAGGATTTTTGCCCTTGTAGCTCTCTGGCCATAAATGGTTACATGTAGCTTACAACCAGGAATAGCCATAGGACTGAGTTCTGACCAATGGACTTTGGCAGCAGGACTAGACAGGATTCTGGTCAGGCTGCTCCCAGGAAGCTGACTCAGCTGGGAGGCACACACCTCAGCAAACAGAGCCAGGCACCAAGGAAGGCAGAGCAGAGAGGTGGGAGCCGAAACTGTTACAGACACCTAGGGACAGCCACCCTGTCACTGCTGACTGCCAAGTTCTCTGACATGATAGACAGGCACCTCTAATTTCAGCCTCTGTTTTTGCGCTTATGTTGTATGCAGCCAAAACTAACCTTACTTGATAGAGTTGCCCACAGCATATAATATACAAACATAAATTCAAGACTTTAAAAAAATCTAACCTTAAAAAATAAACCACAAAACAGAAAGTAATACAGACCAGGTTAAAACCCCGTGGTGGAGTTCTAAGCCACACGGAGAAGATGGACAGATTTATCTACATTACATGGAACGTTTCCATTTTGCAGAAGTCGCTGCAGGTTATCTAACAATTCCGTGCACTTTACTCAACACGTTTGCTGACTGCCTTGGACACAGGCACACTGTGCTGCACGCTGGAGAGCCAGGAGAAAATGTTTCCAACACGTGACAAGTCATTAGTGTGAAAGACCCACACAAAGCTCCACAAGTCAGAAAAGAGAAACATGAACTGAATTTGGACAAAGACGTGGAGCTCACAGCACTGGGTACTGTAGTCAGGGATGGTCATGTCAATACCATGAGAAGACATCCAGCCTCACCAGCAAACTCACTGCTGACCTTGAAAGCAAATTATCCAAAGAAATGCAGTGTCTCAATCTCAGACTGAAGAAAATGTTAAGGCTAATGTCATTCGGTTTCCCAGGTGGAGAAACAGGCACTTTTACAAATGACTGGCAAAGGGCAACCTGACCATGTCTATCAAAATTTAAATTCTCTTGAAAAATAAAAACTATAAATAAAAAATTTTAAATTCTGCCTTCACACGTTGACATTATGTAAATGCATGAGAACCACAGGAGGGCGAAGGTCTCTGAGAAGCATGTCCACCAGTGTGTGGATTTAACAGTGAGAAGTGGGGGAGAGCCCGACGTCCACAGATAAAAAATGGGTAAAGCTCCCAAACAACCACACCATTAAGTTTAATAAAGAAAAACAAGAACAGGCACCAACAGGGGGTTCATATCAAAACTGCAATAACCTGCAGTATTTTTTTTTTTACAAAAAGAATTAAGTCCACACCTACTGACCTGAAAAAACCTTCCAGACACTTTTAAGTAATAAAAAAAGTTGGAAATAACGGATATGCCAGGATCCAATGTAGGTAAAGAAAAATTACACCTCCACACAGAAAGATGCAGGTGTCTCTATCTTTTTCATGAACACAGGTATCTGATGCACTGGAAACATCTGGATAACACATCAACTTACAATGTGGGTCATCCACGGGCAGAGGGAACTAGGTAAGAATCTAGATGGTTGTTACTATGAGCCACCTACTGGTAAATGTTTTATGAAAATGTATTTATGTAAATTAAAAGTTTTAAAGATGAAAAAAAACATAAACTGATGCATTAGCTAATCTAAAGCAAATTCTTTCAAAAGAGGGGCCTGATGAATTTGATTAAAAAATCCCAAAGGTGTTAATAATTACAAAGGAATCACACCAAACAGGACTTTAACCCTGGAGAATGCTATACACCCAATAAGCCTTAAAATATCAATGAAGCACAAGGCTTTCTGGAAGAAAATATTAACAAAGTCTAACATGAAATAAGTTAAAACCTGTCAGAATTGGGAAACTTGAACTAAAATATGTAGGTAAAGGAAAACTACCTTCTCACCACACTTTATTCACCTATCATAACTTCCATTTTGTCAGATGTAAGCACTTACAGGTAGGGGAGAGGTTTTCCCGCTTCTCCTTCATCTCCTGCAGCCTCTTCTCCATGGCACTGTGATGACCCTGGTACATGGAAAGTATGGGGCTGTACACCAATGAGCCACTGGACTCAAACAAGAGAACAGGGACGTCCTGATCTGAAAGGAAACAAAAATCCAATTTAAGCTAAAAAAATGCCTTCCTACTTCAACAACAGGATTCCTTTAAGGACCATCCCCGCCCACCACAATTTTCCTCTTTCCTTTCCACATCATTACCTGCCTCTACCAACACTCTACCAACACTCCATCTCTACCATCAGTACCACCTCCGCAATGAACACCAACACTCCACCTCCACCATCAGTCCCACCTCCGCAATGGACACCAACACTCCACCTCCACCATCAGTCCCACCTCCGCAATGGACACCAACACTCCACCTCCACCATCAGTCCCACCTCCACCATCAGTTCCACCTCTGCAATGGACACCAACACTCCACCTCCACCATCAGCATCACCACCTCTACAACTGATACCAATGAGAATGAGCACAAAAACAAACAATGAAGGCAATGTTTTCAGAACGTTACCCGGCAGCCCTGTGCAGGCCACATGTGCTAGTCAGTTCTGTTGCAGTACCACAACAGATGTAAAATAATGGTCATTCTACCTACATAACTTCAAAACACAGAACAGAGAATCTGCAACGCAGCAGTATAGACTAAAGCAAAGAAAAACCATAGTTACAGAAATTGCTTATTTGTATCAATGATGTGCAGGATTGGTCTGAACTACTGAATTCAGAGAACAGGTGACACAGGCAAAAGAGGGAAAGAAATGTCGAAAACACATAAAGTACTTCAGAGTTTCATGACATTTCAAAGTATATGTCCAAATCATTAGAAGAATACAGTAAAAAAATGATTAAAAAACGGGCAGAGGACTTCAATAGACATTGCTCCCAAGAAGACACACAGATGGCCAACAGGCCCATGAAAAGCTGCTCAACATCAATTATGACCAGGGAAATGCCAAGTCAAAACCACAGCGAGATTCCACCTCACAGCTGTTAGAATGGCCATTATCAAAAAGACAAGAGATAACAAACGTTGGGGGGATGTGGAGAAAAGGGAGCCCTTGTTGGTGGAATGAAAACCGGGGCAGCCACTATGCAAAATGGTACAAAAACAGAACCACCACATGACCCAGTACCTGAGTAGTTAACCAAAGGAAACAGAAGGTATCTGCACCCCCATGTTGACTGCAGCATTGTTTATAACAGTCAAGATACGGAAATAACCTAAATGTCCATCAGTGGGTGCATGGATAAAGGAAACATGGGACATGTATAAATGGAATGTTGCTCAGCCATAAAAGAACAAAATCTGCCAGTTGAGACAACATGGATTGAACCTTGAGGGTAGTACTAAGTGAAATAAGTCAGAAAGAGCAAGACAGACACTGCATGAAATCACTAATATGTGGAACCTTAAAACAAAACAACAAAACAACCAACCCCCAAACTCACAGATACAGAGCAAAGATTGGTGGCTGCAGGGAGGTAGGGGATGAGGGGCATGAAATGGGTGAAGGGGTCAAAAGGCACAGACTCCCAGTAATAAGACAAGTCAGTCATGGGACGCACTATACAGCATGGTGACTAGTTAATACACTGTACTGAATATCTGAAACTTGCTAAGAGAGTACACCTTAAAAGCACTTATGGCAAGAAAAAAAATGAAAAGAAATTCTGTCACTCTGTATGGTGATGGATGCTGACGCTGTATACAAGTATCAGTCCATTATGTTGCATACCTGAAGCTACATAACGTTATATGTAAATTATAGCTTAACATGCAAAACCCCACTGTGATCAGTTAGCTCACTGCCTGGCCCTGCAACAGCTATTTTCAAGGTGACCTGTATTTTGTTTTCTTCTTCCTGGGCTAGACCACTGCAGTCCCCTTCTTCGCTAGGCCATCCTATGTGCCACTGGTCACCAGGCAATTTAAACTAGATGTATAAACACAAACGGAAAGGATCATGTTGTATTTATTTGCTTACCTAGAGTTGTTTTCTGCCTTTGTAGCTCATTAGCCATTTTCTCAAATTTCTTTTGAAGCCTCTTATTGTTTTCCGGTGTTTTGGGAATAAAGTCTTTGGGCTGCATACACCTATGCTGTGCAAAAAAGAACATAAAAAATTAACACACGGTATTGCAATTGTGTAGGACAGGAAGGAACTCTTTTGTGTACGTTCTGGATATGTCTTGTACCATTAATAATAAAACCCTGAAAAGGTACTTTTTGCACTATATGTGAGTTTATACAATTGTAAAAAATATGGACAGAGCCCTGGCCAGTTGGTTGGACCGTGGTCCCATGCACTAAAATGATCACGGGTTCAATTCCTGGTCAAGGCACATACCCAGGTTTTGGGTTTGAGGCAACCGATCGATGTTTCTCTCTTCCTCTCCTGTCTTCTCTAAGAAAAATCAATAAACATGCCCTCAGGTGAGGATTAACAGATATATGTATATATATGTGTATGTGAACAGAACCTAAAGACCGAATAAAGAGCTATGCAAGTAGCTGTGCTGCTGAGGCATTTTCTGCATCCCAGCATGCTTAGTTTCCATGAAAATTCTTAAAAATAATTAGTCTCTTTCTTCTTATTTTTGCTACTATCATGTTATTTCCCCATCTCACAAAAAATCCAGACATAGTAATAAAATACCAAAGCAGTTATTTTATAATAATTGCTAAAGGAAAGAATCATTATTTAATCTTGTCTTCTCTTCAAATCACAGCAACCCCCTTCAGCCAATAAAAAGCAACAAGTAGAACTACAGACAAAATGTACAAAATCAGGAAACCTCAGCTCCATGAAGCTCAGGCTCACGTCAAGAAAGTCCTGGGATAACTTTCGAGTATTACCACCCCCAGAAGGAACATGCCTCCTGACACACCCCACACCTCCCCCCTTTCTCTGCTGTGGAGCACCCAGAGCCAGGCCACACGAATGCACACCTGAGAGCTCCAGCTTGTCCCCTGCTTCTACACCTGAGACTTCCTTAGGACCCTGGAGAAAGGTGTCTGCTGGCAAGGCCTGTTTGGCTTTTGGGCTGAAGCTGCCGGTGCACCTGTTTACAAGGCTGCCTAGTCTAGTCCCTGTCCCAGTGACAATGAAGAGCCAAGGCTCTCCTGAGGTCTGGACTCAACCACCTGCTCTTCCAGGGAGTTAGTTCCTCTCCTTCATCTGATGAGTTAGCAAAACGCTGTTTGTTGTGTGTGAGGAACTGTTCTCAAAGACTGAGCCTTGCCATCATGGAGCTTATTCCCTCGTGATGAGTGGCAGAAATAAGCACAGAAATAAGGAGATGACCCTGGATGCTGGGGGTTTCGCCAAGCAGGTAGGGAAAGGGCCTGCACTGTTCCCTCCAGTGTCCTTGCACAGCAGGCCACTTGCTGATTAAACTAAGTGTTGCTTCATAGCTACGGGGCCAGGGAGTGTGGGAATCTGTACACTCCCTGCCCCCATGCCTATCACTGGTGGGAGGGCTGTTGTAAGGAGGTGATGTACTGGGAAAACAGGCTCCCTGGACACTCCCTGGTCCCGAGGTGCTCCCTAGATTCCGAAACACTGGGAATCTCCACCAGCATCTGGACCTGTCTAAATGCCGCCATCACCACAGCGAATTAGAAAGCAGTAAGTAATGTCCCACCACAGCCTTCATGGGTAAAATAATCTCAACTCACAAGAACACTGTGATAACAGTATTATCAACAGCAGTACTGAAGACAGCACTTGGCTGTATCTCTAAAGTTTCCTTTTCTAGGAATAAAATAAATGAATAAATGTATAATCAATATATATATATAATCAATGTATAATCAATGTATAATAAATGTATAATAAAATAAATGAATAAATGTATAATCGCCACTGTCTACACTGGAATCACATACTTACTTTCTTTTTAATGAGGCACGGCAGGTGTTCATGAGTGTTTGCAGCAGGGAACAGGGCCTCGTCGACGTGTGCCCCAGCGGTCCTGCACCTGAGGAGAGCCACCATCTCCGTGAGCATGTCTGTTAGACTCACAAGGGTTAAACCTGCATATGTCAGCGGTAACTGAGGAAATCCACACACTGGTACACACGTTACTAATACAAAAGTCCATATAAATTCTGCCTTCCATCGTCCTCTCCACATGGTGTTTCTTGGATAAGAGTAGGGGTGAGAGGCACGTAAAGGAAGTGCTCTTCCTCTGCACTGATGTCAGGTTTGAAACACATCTCAGAATGGCCAGTGCACACCACTCACAAAGGTGCAAGCATCTGCCATTAAACGCATAATGTAAACAGGCTGTAAAAGGAGTAATTCAGAGCCAGAAGGTCCTGAAGAAATTGAGGGCAGAAAGCTCATCTTTCCTCCAAAACCAGGCTCTCCTTTCTGTGTATTTCTCTCCGGACCCTGAAGCCCCCAGAGCAGTTCTGCCACCCGCTGTCCCCGGCTGTGCCTCTCCTTCCACAGTCCGGCAGCCATGTCGTCACTGCCACTCTAACACCCTCCACTGTCCTCCTCGCACTGGGAACCTGGACTGGGACCTACCTCCAGGCATCAGTCCCTCAAATCTGCACAACTACAGCGATTTTCTAAATGTTCTTCTCCATTTCTCCTCTAATTCTTCTATCACTGAAATACTAACCTTGAATCATTCTACTCATCCATTCCCGACCCAGACCAGAACCCTCACCACGCCCATCTCACAAAGCAATCTCACTTACCTGTGACGTCTTTTTAAAATTCAGCCCTAACCACATCCCTGACTACAGTTCAGAAGATATCACTGCTCGAAGTCTAGTATGCAAAGGACAGCTGAAAATATAACTAAAATACAGTAAAAAAGAAAGCAGGATAAATATGTCCATGCTGACACAGAAAGCTCTGTCAACCGTATTAAGAAGGAAGTGTCAGGACCGTGTGTGTGGTAGCAGCAGGTATTTTGTGCATTGCTTTGCCTGTTTAACTAACACAGGGGCACCATACGTTTGCTACGAGGAGAACAGTCTACTTGGCAGGTTTTTTAGAAACACTGGTCCTTTTAACACCACCTTTCATCACAAGAACAGGAACCCTGAGATCTCAGCTGTCTGCTCCTATAAAGCAAGCTCAGAAATAACCCCACAGACGGGTTCTAGCGACACCTAGTGACTGGTCCTATGTACTGTTCACATTTCCTGTGAAAACAGGAGCAGTGGCCTGGATGGCAAAAGGACAGACATCTGACACACAAAATAAAGCTCAGTTTGGCTGTTACCTCTAAGTTTTGGGGGAGAAAATTCAAGCTTACTAAAAAATCAGGAAAATGAAAAATCAATTTTATTTTTTCACCTGAAAGTAGGGAAGATGAAGATAACGGTGTGAGAAATGGCTGTGGAAACAGGTGTTTTTTCCACCACTAGAAAAGATGAAAACTGGCACACTTTCTCCAGGAGATAACAGCATCCACCACAACTTTAAACATGCGAGCCCTCTACACTCAATAGTAACGTCTGGAGACTTCAATATGCCATTTAAGTGGACAGATCTAGAAGGAAACACAAAACTTAAAAAAGTGTAAGCTAACTGCTCTAGGCCTGACAGAGTGCATACCTAGGACGTTCCTCCACAGAGCACCGGCAGGTCCTCCCAGGAAGACCCAACACCAGGGCACAGAACAAGTCTCGACTACTTGAAAGGGACTGAAATAATACAAAAGGTATTCTCCGTCCACAAAAGAACACGAGACATCAAAAACAGAATGACGTTTGGAAAACTCACAATTCGTGGAAATAAAACAAGAACCTCCTAAATAACCAATGAGTCAAAGAAGAAATGGCAAAAAAAAATCCCAAACCAAAACAAACAAAAACAACCCACACAAAAGTTTGAAACAAATGAAAACAAAACCACAACATATCAAATTTTATGAGATACAGGAAAAGCAGTGCTTATAGAAGGAAATTTATAACCTTAAACAAATTTCAAGAGGAAAAAAGGAAAAATTTCAAATCAGTAATCTGATCTTCTGCATAATGATATCAGAAGAGCAAACTGGCCCGAAAGCAAGCAGAAGGAAGCAGGGAATGAAGAATAGGATGGAAATGAACACGAGAAAAACAATAGAGGAGAAAAATCAATAAAACCAAAAGTTGGTTCTTTGAAAAGTTCAATAAAATTGACAAGCCTTTAGCTAGACTGATCAAGACAAAAAGATTACAAAGTCAGGAATGAATTATTACCAACTTTGTTAATGACAAGAACTGTAACAGAATACTACGAACAAGTGCAGGCCAGCAAATATCGACCCGCAATGAAAACAGAAACGCCCTAGGAAGACACAAGCTATTTCAAGTGACTCAAGAAGAAACACAAAGTGAGTAGACCTATAGCAAGATATTGCCTCACTAATCAAAAAGCTCCCACAAACGCAAGCCCAGGCCAGGCTTCACCGGCGAGTTCTACCAAATATCTGAAAAGGGACGAACACCAATCCTCAAAAACTCCTCAAAACCAGACGCGGCTTCTGTCCAACACCAAACCCAGACTAAGTCACCAAAAGAAAGCTATAGACCAGTATCTCCTAATTACTGTAGATGCAAAAATGCAAATAAAAAATTAAAAAGTGAAAGTACTACCAAACATCACAGCAGTTAAAAAAATAAGTATACAATAGGATCAAGCAGAATTTACCCCAGGAATGCAAGGCTGGTTCACCACACAAAATCAATCGACGTAATACACCACATAAACAGAATGAAAGAAAAAAACCATGAGTATCACAATAGATGCAAAAAAGAAATTGACAAAATCCAACACCCTTTAAAGATACACAACAAACATTAACAAACAAATAACTAAGGTTGGAAGGAAATTTCCTCAACCTGATAAAGGGCACCCAGGAAAATACGCAGCTACACCATGCGTGCCAGTGAAATACAGATAGCCTTTCTCCTGAGAGCCCTGGAACAAGACGGGGATTCCACTCTCGCCCTACCCATGTCTATTCAACACTGCTGGAAGTTGAAGTCGGAGCACCTGGGCAAGAAAAAAAAGGCATCCAGATTGGAAAGACAGAGTAAACTGTCTATATACAGATTATACAACCACATACATAGAAAGTCCTGAAGAAACCACAAAACACTTAGAGCTAATAAGCAAGTTCAGCAAACCAGCAGGATACAAGATTTATATGCAAAGCTCAGTCATTTTTTTAATACTGACAACTACACAACCTAAGATGGAAAACTCGTACACGGAAAACCTCAAGTCATCACGGAAAGAAATTAAAGACCTAAAGAAACGCAAGCACATCCCATGGCTGTGGACTGGAAGGTAAAATGCTGTTAAAATGGCAACACTTCCCCAGTTAGAGATTCAGCCTCTCTCTATCAAATCTCGGCTGATGTACAGACACGCAGAATGGGACATGGTCTATCCACACAGGGCACTGCTGTGCAGCCACTCAGAGCACAGTGCTGACACAGGCTATACAAACGGGCCCTCATACAGCGGGCTAAAAGCCAGCAGAAAAGGCCAAACAGGGTTCCACATGCGTGAAGTGTCCAGAACAGGCAAATTCAGAGGTAAAAGGCAGAGTCGTGGTCCAGGGGCTGGGATGGGGCAATGGGGAGTGACTGCTAATGGATCAGTGTGGGAGAAAGGAAGGCTCTTATGCATACACAGCCGGCTACTACTGGAGAAAGGGGAGGAAGTGTTGGACTCGGAACATAATCATCTTGTAAGAATCAAAGGTAAGGTTGGCTCAGCAAGAATCATTAAGGGATGCTGTACCTGGGGACAGGGGGAGATGCAGGGATCCCATGGGAAGCAGGGTGTCTGCATGGTCTTAAGATGTCTCCCTACACGTGGCTTATTAGTTTCAAGGGAAACAAAGCCTAAGCACACAATGGAAAAGTCAACAAACACCGGGCCAGGCGATCAAAATCAGCATAACCAGGAGAGGCAGGCGAACACTGAAGGCTGCGGGCAGGACAGCCATCACTCACAGAGCCTTCAGCGTAGGAAACCATAACCTCAATCCCATCACCAGGAAACATCAGACAGACCCACAATGAGGACCACCTGATCTTAAACAGAACAGTGGAGAGGGAGACTGGAATTGTCAAAACTGCCCCTGGTCCAGCCTGAGGTGACTAGAGACCAGGCCATAATGCACAATGCCCTGCCCTGGACTGGCTCTCGGAGGGAGAAAACCACGATTGACAACCTACACACTCAAGACAGGTTTCCTAGAAGCATTTCAGATGGAAATTTAAAAGGAGAAAAAAAAAGTCATCTTCACATTACACACGCACCTGTATCTCCTAACAAGGAGAACTCCTCTGCTCTGGTCCCTGCCCTGACCCTTACTGAGAGCGGCGACTCTAGGACTGTCCTGGCTAACCACCGTGGATAACTACCTCTGGAGACGAATGCTCCCTGGAATCCAGGTGTACAGGAGTCCTGGTGCTGCTCTTAGGAAGCTGGAGGACACGTATGTGAAAGCAGCAAGGCAAAACGTAAGGCATGGACTCTGGCTGACAGTGATGTTTGAAACTGCTCTAAAAAAGAACCTACTTAATTAAAAATAACAATAATAATAATAAGGCCTGGCCATTCAAACTTCATGGGAGGAACTGTGAAGTTCCTCACATCCCACAAAAGCCTGTGTCATCAAATGCCCACGATCTCTCCTCAACCTCCTCCCAAGCTTCCCCTGAATACTCCTATCAAGGGCTCAATTACGTCCCCCCTAAAATTCATAAGTCCTACCCCCTAGAACCTCAGAACATGACAGTATTCATAAGTCCTACCCCCTAGAACCTCAGAACATGACAGACCTTTTGGAGTAAATTCCCCAGGCAATCCTCTGGTCACAGGGGCCCTGACTGGCCCACCCCCCTTCATTTGCCCCCTCAGCGAGGTCACAGTCTTTGTGGTGCTGTGTAATACTCACTCTAGTTTTTCCAGGGCACCGTTAGGCCAGAAACCATGTCAGGGCCGACTAGCCCAGGAACGGAAGGGGCCCTGTGAAGAGCAAGTGCCAGGCTCAGGGGCTTCCATAACCTGCACTTCAAGCGCCACTTTCGACCCACACCCTCCTGTCCTCCCAACATCTCCTCTTGTAAAACCAGCCAAGACCTACGGGCTGGAATCAAACCATCTTCCCTCACCTCCCCTCCCTTTGTGCCCTCTCCCTGCCCTCCCTCCTAAGAAGGTTGGCATATGTCCCTGGTGCTTCCTTATCACTGCTTCACATTTCCCTCTACTCCCTCAGTGGCGGCAGCTGGCAAAACCCAACCCTGACTAACCCAGCTCTCTGCCCCCTTCCCGTTGAGTATTCTGGATAAACAGTTGGCCCGCTCCTCTGGACTCATGTTCAACTTACAGCCTCCACCCTCAAGTGAGCTATTAGTCCTTTGCGACTGCACTGCACTGTGGCCACTCTGGCTCACGCCAAACCTCCAGCCTGGCTCATTCAGTAGCCTCCAACCACTCTCCCTGCTTCTGCCCTGGCCCTGGTCCCACCTCCAACACCTTCTTCTCTGCCTCACATCCCACAAAAGCCTGTGTCATCAAATGCCCACGATCTCTCCTCAACCTCCTCCCAAGCTTCCCCTGAATACTCCTATCAAGGGCTCAATTACGTCCCCCCTAAAATTCATAAGTCCTACCCCCTAGAACCTCAGAACATGACAGTATATGGAGACGGGGCCTTTAAAGAGAAAACTAAGGTTAAATGAGGTCATGTGGGTGGGCCCTAATCCACTGGGATTAATGTCCATTCAAGGGGAGATGAGGACCCAGACGGACCCAGAGAGACCAGATGAAGACAGAGACACCTGCAGGCCAAGCAGAGAGAGAGGCCCCAGAAGAAAACCACCCTGCCAGCCCCCAGAAGTGTGAAAAATAAAGTCTGCTGTTTAAGCCCCAGTCTGTGGAATGTGGTTATGGCCTCCCCAGCAGGTGGATACAGTTGCTTCACCACACTTGATCCCTTACGGTTTCCTGAATGCAACAAGGGCAAGTGTCTCGGGGCGTGTGCTCATTTCCCCTCTAGGCAGGGCGAGGATTATGCTACATCCATGGTCCAGCTGTGGAAACTGAGGCTTGAGGGTGTTAAATGACTTGTCCAAGTAAGAGGCAGAGAGAAGGAAATAAAACATTACTTGGTTCTGTGATCCCTGCAAAATGTATTGCTGTGCTTTACCAGCACTAGACACTCAAGGAAAAAGATCAGAGAAATGGCTTACTTTTCAACCCAGAGCACAGAAACGAGCTTCACGCCTCTCTCCCGAGCCTTCTCCCAGGTGCGCGGGTACCCATCCTTGAACACGACATGAGTTACTTGTTTGTTAAAAGTTTTTGACACCTGTAGATAAAGTGCAGGGGAGAAAAAAGTATTACTATTTGCACACAATTTCACAAAGTATAAGCAAATGCCACTCATGGAGACACTTGCAAAATAAGCAACAAAGTATTAGCAAAAAGCATCAACCTATAAAAAGGGTAATAGAGGGTGGGGCAAAAGTAGGTTCACAGTTGTTCGTATGGAAAATAACATGATAATAAATAATAATATGAGTAAACTCTATTTCATGTCCTCACCACTGTAAACCTACCTTTGCCCCACCCTGCACAGCCCTAACACTCGAATTTATTCCAGGACTGAAGAATTGGCAAATATTAATAATAATAATAATTTAAAAAATCAATAATCATTCACTACGTTAACAAAGCTGAAAATCATTATGATCATCTCAACACATGCATAAAACACATTTGATGAAATTAAAATGTTTATCATGAGGACAATTCTTAGTGAATGAAGATCTCAGAGCTGGTACAAGACGCCTTACGGGAAGTGTTGACGCTTTCCCATAAAGACAAGGAGGGCACAGAAAGGAGGGAGTGCTATGAGTCCTGCTGTGCCAAATTCATGCCACGGTCTCCTCTTCTTCCTCCTGCCACCTATCCACCCTTCGTGTTCTAGTAAGCCCCCAAATAAAAAATGCAAATATGTCTCACCATGTACCAGAGGACTACCACATGTAGCAATGGTAAGATGAATTTCTTACTCACATGCAGCAATGGTAAAATGAATTTCTTACCTTTGCCCCCATCTCAACAAGTTGGTTTGTAAATGTCTTCGAATAATTTTCTGTTCCATTGGCTGACCACACTTCAACATAAGCCACTACATCTGAAAACAAATGCGGTGTCAGCATGAAATATACTGAAATTCCAGCATCCCTCGCCCAAAGATTTCAATATATTTTCCTCTTGTTATATTTATACTAAAAAAAAAAAGAAATTTAAATTTTTTCTATTACAAGCGTATTCAAAATAACATTAGTGCCATTATGGTTCTTAAAATTTCAAGCAAAGAACAATTTTACACATACACACGTCATAGTTTACATTATTAACACTCAACGCTCCTCCCAAATTCCCAAATGAGGCTTAACTTTCCTAGGGCAAGAGTCTGCTTTCTGAAAGGTGCCAGACAGCACCTATTTCAGGCTTTGAGGGCCAGGCCACCACCCAACCTCGCGGCTGCAAAGCAAAAGGAGCCAGACAACACATTCACGAGGGAGCACAGCTGTGTCCCAAAAAGCTTCACAGGCAATAAAGTTTGAGTTTGATAGTTTTCATCTGTCTTCCTCCTGCTCATGTCCTGTGTGTCGTGTCGCCCCCCTCCCCCATTTAAAAACGTAAAAAAACAGTCTTAGCTTGCAGGCCCCACAAAAACAGGCAGAATGGGGGTACCGTTTGCAGACACCTGTTCTAGTGGCTTTTTCTCAAAATCTAACGCTTTAAAAGAATTCACAGGCGTGCCATTCTAAACGACTGGGCGCGCAGCAAAAGCCACGTCAGGTCAAGGCAACCAACGGCCACGTGGAAAAGCAGCCCCGTCGGGCCGCAGCCGCGCCCCCTGGACTCGGGTCTGCAGAGCTCGGCCCCGCGCACGCGCGCTCGCCGCCGGCGCCCCT